ACACACTGTGCCCGTTTCTTAGAAAGGTGGGGAAAAAACTGCAGAGTCCCATCCCCACTCTACAGTGTTTTTCCATCTTGGAGGGAGAGGGCAGATTTGATGGATGCGGACCGTTGCGTCATTGGTGGGAGGGCTGTGAGAGGGCATTTGGTCACACCCACTCATCCCTTCCACCAGTGAAGTTTCAAACAACCATCGAGCCGTCGTGCCCACTGCCTCTAACCGAAATTGGATGCTGGTGTTGAACAAAGGAGAAAAAAAGACCAATTTGCAGAACGAGATGTGGGACCCAAATCCCATTTTCGCAGTACAACTACTTCACATAACTACAACACGGTGTGAAGCTTACCACTCACCTGTTTAATAGCCGACCGTAGATTGTTATTTGGATCTTGGTTTTTCGCATAGCGCTCCGGTTTCTCGCCACCTTCACCAGTGTTAGATTTGCCACCGATGCGATTCATGGCGATAGCAAGCGTTGTATGTGCCTCCCAAGAGATGGACCCAAACGACATAGCTCCTTAAAAGTCGTCCTATTATCGGAGACTGCGGTTCATTTTCGACGCGACGCGACCGCTCGCTCAGTTGCTAATGAAATCCACACTTATGTGGAAATAAAGCGTGACTGAGCACAAAATGCATGACAAAACTGACCTGTTACAAATCGCTTAACGATTTCACTGGCCGGTTCAACTTGGTCCATAGGAATCTCGAGTTTTGAACTGGTCTTGATCTCGAGCTGACCTCTGAGGGTACACCAACGTTGGGCAAGATTTGACGCTTGAGAGTATTCATGGAATGTCTTCGAGTTGTTGAGACGAGTGGCTGCCTAAATTGTTTGATTCACAAAATTCAAAATGGTTCGGTCAAGCCCCTTTTGCCGCACCCTCTCTCGGGATACGGGGGGCATACTGAAAATGTCATTTTTGTCACTGCGTCGCGGATCTAAACAAACCTGCAACTTGGCAATTGCTTCTGGCTCATTAATATGCTTTTCTCCTCCAGCTCTCCAGTGGAAGGTCCCAGATGCTACCAGAACGCGTGAATCTCCTGAACGAAAACTACTACCGAAACTGACGACCTTGCATTAATACAGTGATGATTCTGAAACAGAAAATGAGCAGGACGTTGGGTTATGGTAAGCTACGGTAAGCTTATAGCCTACATTCTGGCAATGCAGAGTGGAGCGCGTAATATCAAACAAGTCTGGCAGTCTTGTCGCAATTACATGATATGCCTGGCTTTGGAGCGTTACTTCCCAGTCACGGCCGGTGCGACCAAAAGGCGTTGCAAACGGGGTGACTTACGCTGCATTCGCACCAGGACCCAATCAATTCGACGTGGCAATGCTGTGGTGCGCGGACTGCCTCTGCGTCTCTTTGGGGACCAGCTCTCTCTGTGGCTGTGTCTGTCTAGTTTGCCTAGTGCGGGCTATGCCGCGATTGGGAAGTAACGTTCCACATCCGGATATCTTTACTTGGGGCTATATCTCGCTAAGTAGAGCGCACGCGAAGTGTAGTGCGTGCTATCACACTACTTGTAAACGGCTCCTTCAAATGTAAGTAACTGTAAATGACTTCTTTAATTGATTACAGAGATCGCTCTAGTCTGCACAGATACGTCCACTGCTGTTGAGCAACAAGAAAGTGTTTTTACGACATATAGCTAATGTTTTAACAAACTAGAATCGCTAAAGCCGAATAGGAGTGCGATCGAAATCAACTAGAACTACATGCTCAAGGACAAGTTCACACACAACACAAACAACTTCACGACTGCCTTACCGTAAACTCCTCTACGACCATTCAGCTCCTCGTCAGCTATAAATACTCAACGCAAGGTACGATTGAAGGTGAAAATGTGATTTGATATTGATTGGAAATGAAGAAATGTGCGCGTAGAAGTTAAAGAGACGTCATTCCAAAGGTTGTCACGACATAAGCCCCATTTCCCGGGGATGGGGTGGGAGTGACTGCTTGCTTCATTTGGAAGAAACATAGCATAGTTTTTGTGGAATATTTCTACTTGGGACAACTGTCATCCTTTTTTGTTCTGAACAAAGACATAATTACAGTTGTTCTAAGACGGCAATATCCCACTGAAATTGCACTCGCCGCTATGTTCAAATAAAGAACGCAGTACCGCCCTCCCCATCTCTGGGATATGGAGTGTACTAAGACTTGAACAGCTTTGATTCTTCAAAACGATCCTCACTCCTATTGAGCGCAGTACTTGTTTTTTTTACGTAGTTGAGCGTGGCCACTCTCTGACTTCTTTTCCCTAACAAGGGAGTACGCTTAGAGCACAGACTACCAGAGCAGCATAGAAATAGCGCATATAGATACGGCACAGCGACTGCAAGATTGTTGCATGTACCAAAGAAAATGTGGCGAATCAAGGGGGAAGTCTTTCCAAGAAAAGGCCACTCCGAATGGGCGAGCCTTTTTAGAATGTTCGTGGGCACAGTGGGTATATAGACGACAGAATGCAGAGGAGATCAAGAAACTGATCCGCAGCAACTCTGGTAGTCTGCTCTCCAGGCTTAGCCCTGGATTAGAGGAAGAGACGCAGAGACGCTGCCGTGTGATCCCGCCCAACTATGTCAGTGCCACCATTTTCGCGCCTGGACCACCACTTCATGAGCAAACTCACAAAGTCTATTTTCACGCAGAAATGCTACAGAAACTATTCACATGAAAATATTGCTGTCTCGTAGACTTACCTTTCAACTATTTAGTAGATGAACTCAGAATCCACAAACCCACAACCTCCAAAGTAAAGAACTTAATGACACACAAGGAATAAATCCAATACTCGGAAGCCTTGTCCGGAACTATAGAAGATTTCCAACTTCATTTTACTCTAGTTTTGTGTGAAGGCCCCATTGTTACAGATCCTAAGTCTAGGCAAAGTTCTACTCCAGTAAATATTTTTATCTCGCATCCTTCTACAGCTATGGGTATCCCTGGTCTATTCATATTCCTTCTCCCCAGCGGCACGAAAATTTATGGTTTGTTTATAAGTTTTGAGTAAAACTCCTTGGAGTTTCAGAATGTTTTCTCTCTACGTAGCTCTGTGTGTTGTTGCGGCAAGAGTTGGTTTAGGAAAAACGTCATTAGGTCCTAATTACTGACATAACTCACACAACATGACATTGACATATTGGTCTCGTTGACACCTTGGTAGGCCAGCCATCGTGCCTGTTGTGCAGCTTTGCGCTCTTTCCCCCTGTAGTTTTTCAGTCTCCTTCAAGTTTTCCCACGTTTAAATATGATAACTGCTGTTTAACGCCGTATCCGAAGATAATTACAAGGATGCTGAGTTAAAGGTGACCCGGGGGCGTAATGGTTAGGGCTCTTGCCCAGTAAGCAGGAGAGGGGGTACGAGGCCCGTCTGAGGCCTGATTTTCGCACGGGCGATGCACGACGTGCCCTGTTCACAGTAGACTAGGTAGCATATTATCGAGGATAGTACACCAGTAAGTAGGTCAATCTTAGCTTTGAGAAGCAATTAAATGGATTGTCAGGCGATCATCGAGTACTCTTCTACACTCTGAGTATCCCACTTTCCTATCTCAATCTCAGTCAAATTGATGCTTTTTTCCTCCTCTTTCCTCCTTTATCCTTTGAGCCGTGCTGTGAGGCAGGCAAAACCCGCTGAGGGTTCAACCTTTGACATCCTCACTGCCGCCATCATATTCTATTAAAAGGTCTTCAGTCGAGCATAAATGACCAGCAAATTTAGAGATGACGCGAAACGAATGTGCTCGATTTTGCGAAACCTTGGCAAAAACGGCGCAGTTTGGCGACAAGGGGGAGGAGGCATCTAGCACATTTGCTACTTTCCAAAACCTGTCGAGGCATAGAGTGAAGACCTGTGGAATTTTGGGAAGCCACGAAGTGCCAAAGTTTGAAGAGATCATCTGTCAACTCTTGTAAGGAGTACCTGACAACTCTTGTAAAGCAATGGAATACCACACGAATATCATTGACCATGGTGGCCTCGACGAGCTTGCTCCAGCTTCACAAGAGTTCACAGGTTTCACTAGGGTGAGACTTGTCAACCTGAACTAGTGAAGCAGTGAAAGTGCAAAATGCCTCCTTCTCCGCCGGAGAACTGCATGAGGTTAAATAATCCTTTAGACCCTTCAGAACGGGAATTTCTGAACTTTCGTCCTTCTAAAATCTCTCTTAGCTTCTTTACTCCCCATTGTTGCCTATGTTCTGCGGATTCAAAAGAAAAAAATGCTTAGGTATTCTGAGCTTTCATGGAGGAAAAGTAGAGAGGGCGTAAGACGGGATAAGAACATTACAAAGATGCGGCGAAAGCGGCGCTGCAGGCGCCGCTGGACGTCCAGTTGAACCACTTGATCTGATGTGATGTGGTAGAAAAGTTCCTTAGCCTCGCCGGAACGTGACCCATTCCCGTCACACACATGAGGCGTGATACACAAGAAATATAGAAAAAAAGGTGAGGACTTGAAAGAACCCACTGGAAATACGGGGAAGGCTCACTTGTGGTGAGGGGCTCAGGGCACAGCATCGTTGTGTGAAACACATACGAGGGGCGTACTTTTGGCTGAAGAGGGGCGTCGTACTTGATCGTTGTTGGGAGAGGGATCGTATATGGCTTTGAGAGAAATTCGCCGCGTTGGGAAAAAAGTTCCCGGTTGACTTTTCTTGACTTTTCGGGTGATTTTCCCTGTTTCGTTTGTACTACATACCCCTGCCCCTTGAAAGCAAAATTTTTGGGTAAAAGTAGGGAAATTTTCGGGAAATCCCAAAAAAGTGGTAGGAAGTTAGGAAGGAAAATCCAAGAAGTTTTTCCGTTTCACACTGGCTACATACCTACAACCCCCCCCTCGACGGAAAATCTCTGGGTGAAAAACTGGAAAATGTGGGAAATTGGTAGGTAGGTCCTGGGGAAAGGGGGGGGGCAGTACCGAAACCATCCCTCGAAATGAGGGGGGTGTCGTAATGGCACCACCATTTCACATATCACGATGCTGCACCCTGGGGTGGCGGCCAAGACAATCGTAATTTCCCGACCATCGCTCGCGGCGATAGGGGCGGCGCCTCCTTATCTTGCATTACCTCGATTGAAGTCCCGGATTTCACGTATACTAGGAAATCGCAGATTTATAGCCTTTTTTAGTTATATATTGCCTGTTGTCACCATCTACGACCGAGAAACATCGTCGTTTGTGGGCGCGACGTCGCGCGCGAAGTCCACCAGCGCGGCGAATTTCGGTTATCATACCACCTGCCCGGTGGCTAATTGGCCACCTGATAAGTCCGCTTATAGCATCTTTCTCCTAAGCAAAATGCTCTCATATCATCCTAGAACGATCAGGTTTCAAGAAAATCCCTCTGAACTTACCGAAGACATGCTTGTCGGCATTAGTGACAACGGGGAACGCGGAGCGATGGCGTTTTAGCGCCTCAGCTGCCAGTATCTCAAACGTGGCACCACCAAGACGCGAAACTGTGTTCTTGAAACACATATCAACCACTTCCTTAGCCAGGCCGACTATTTCGAAGATTTGTGCGTGCTGAAAATCGATAAAATTACAAGTTCGGTTCATAGAACCATTCTGCGCACTAAAGCTGCGTCGCAAAGTCGTGCAGGGTATAACTGAGCATATTCTCACCTTGTAAGAATGCAGCGTACTGATTCCCATTTTAGCCATCACCTTGAATATACCACGCTCAACACCCTGGCGATAGCCTTGATAAACCTAAAACATCTTCCGTTAAATAATTGCACGTTCCCGTTAATCAGTATCTGTACCATGTCGTCATTGAGTTCCTTGTCGAGCAGGCCGAGATATCGAAGGCGGTACATTGTTTCAAACACCATGTAGGGACATATAGCGTCAGCTCCGAAACCAAGCAGAACACAGAAATCATGCACAACTTTGGCTTCACCCGTTTCCACGATGATAGCGACCTAAATTGGCAATAATGAAGCAACGGCAGCTTAAATAGGGGGAGTCATGTTGGAAGGTAGTGAGCAGTGTAAAGTTCACGAAAACTACAAACTTTCCACTGGGAGTCACGCTTTCATTTTCTTCCTTACTGTTATGACGCTCTTTTGCGCGCACACTAGTGTGATCACTTCCAGAAGAGCAAGCGCGTTGCGGTCGCAGCGCGGTCACCTTCGATCGACACAGTGCCCAATGGTCTTCAGCACCTTTCTGTTGTGTTACTACATCCATATTATGGAATCGTCACACGCACTATTAGATAAAGTCTCACGAATAAGCAACGATTCAACCTCTAGGATAGTAGCCATCCTGCCAATAGCGAGTCTCCAACCAAGCACTACTAGATGGACCACTGCAATTTTTTTGCAGCGATCCTCTTTTTGCATTAATAGCAACTATTTAGGGCGTCAGCATGATTGAAGTAGGGAGTGGGGTACTCAGCTCTGTGTCCTTTATACCTAGATGTGGAATCAAGCTGTGAGATCATAGTCGCCGAAGATACTCCCGCAAAGAATTCATGGGGAACTTCCACCAAGCCTAAGCTTACTTGCGGAAGTGTCACAGAGCCGCTCGCCCCCCCCCCCTCACTAGTGTAAGGAGTTGTTTCTCAGCTGCGATGTCGCGGCAAAGACGCAGGGTACTCTCTAGCTATTTGACTAAATAGACGCAGTCACAGGGAAAACTCTAAGCTTAAGAGACGTAGACGAGGACAGAATAGAGAGCTGACGCGCCGGAACACTGCTACGTTGACGGGGTTGGGTCCTGTCGCGAAAGTAATGCACGTCAACCCGCTTGCAACGCCTATTTCGCCGCACTCACTGCCACTTGGAAATACAGCCTCACACTCTTCTCCTTATTATGTTAGAACCCAGCTCAGTAATTGCCCAGTTGTGTACCATTCCCGCGTACTTCCTACAGAGAACCCCAGCCAGTTCACGAAGCCGACGTTAAGTTTAGAATTTTGTCTACGGGTGTCCTAGCTGCTCTGGAGCAACACAGGCAGTTCAGAAACACCAACTTAACGTACGAGCAACGGCAAGGGTTGAAAGAATTACGCGAGAATGGTA